GAGAGAGAGAGAGAGAGAGAGAGAGAGAGATCTTCTTTGTCCATTTATCTGTCAGTGGACATTTGGATGCTTTCCATAATTTGTTGAGAGTGATTAGTACACTTGCTGGATCAAGGCAGTTCTGTTTTTAAGTTTTTGAGAACTTCCACACTAGTCTCCAGATAGGCTGCACAAGTTTGCATTCCCATGAGGACTGCGAGAGGGTTCCCTTTTCTCTGCATCCTCACCGATACCTGCTGGTTTTTTTTTTTTTTCAGTTGTTAATTTTAGCTATTATGACTGGTGTGAGGTGGTATCTCATTGTGGTCTTGCTTTGTATTTACCTGATGATGAGTGATGTTGAGCATCTTTTCACGTGTATGTTAGACATAAGGATGTCACCTTTGGAAAAATGTAGATTCCTGTCTCCTACCTATTTTTTCACTGAGCTGTTTTTCTGGTGTTGGGTTGTATAAGTTCTTTATGTATTTTGAATACTGACTGTTTAGCATGCATGTATTTTTGCTAACATTTTTTCCATTCCATAGATTGCCTTTTTAGTTTGCTGATTATTCCCTTCACTGTTCACAATGTTTTTTTTTCTTTATGAAGGTCCAATAATTTATTTTGCTTTTGTTTCCTTTACTTCTGGAGACATATCTAGTAAGAAGTTGCTATGGCTGAGGTCAGAGGGTTTTCTGCTTGTGTTTTTTTTTTCTAGGATTTTGATGGTTTCATGTCTCATGTAGATCTTTCATCCATTTTGAACTTATTTTTGTGCATGGTGTAATAAAGTAGTCCAGTCTCATTCATTTACTTGATGCTGTCCAGTTTTAACAACACTATTTGTGGAAGAGATTGTTTTTTTTTCCCCATTGGATAGTATTTCCTGCTGTGTCAAAGACAGTTGACCATGTGCTTGTGGGGTATCTTTCTGGGTTTTCTGTGGTGTTTCATTAATACATGTGTCGAGGTTTTTTTGTTGTTGTTATTGTTGTTTTGTTTTGTTTTGTTTTGTTTTGTTGCCAGCACCATGCTGTCTTGATTACTACAGGCTTTGCAATACAATTTGAAGCCAGAATTGTGATGCCTCCAGCTTTGCTTTTCTTTGTCAGGATTTCTTTGGCTTTGGGGATCTTTGTGATTACATATAAATTTTAGTATTGTTTGTTTAGGCTCTGAAAAATGCTGGTGGTATTTTGATTGGGATTGCATTAAATATGTATATTGCTTTGGGTAGTATACACATTATGACCATGTTTGTTCTTCTAATCCATGAGCATGGTATGCCTTTCCATATGTTTGTGTCCTTTTCAGTTTCTTATATCAGAGCTGTATAGTTTTCAGAGTACAGATCTTTTATGTTTTTGGTTACCTTTACTCCTAGGTATGTGGTGCAGTTATAAATGGGATCAATTCCTTTGTCTCTCTTTTTGCAGCTTTGTTATTCGCGTATAGAAACGCAACAGATTTCTGTACTTTGATTTTGTGTCCTATGACATTACTGAATTCATTTATCAGTTCTAACAATTGTTTTGGTAGAGTCTTTGGGTTTTTCTATGTAGGGAATCATGTCATGTGCAAATAGTGAATGTTTGACTTCTTCCTTGCCAATTTGGATTCATTTTGTTCCTGTGAATTGTCTGACTGCTGACGCTAGGGCTTCCATTACTATGTTAAATAAGTATGGTGACAGTGGACCTGCCTTGTTCCTGATTATAGAGGAAAAGCTCTCAGTTTTTCCCCATTGAGATGATATTAGCTGTGGGTCTTTCTGGTATGACCTGTATTATATTGAGGCATGTTCCATGTATCCCTACTTTGTTGAGGGTTTTTAACATGAATGGGTATTGTATTTTGTCAAATGCTTTTTTATGCATTTCTGGGAAGCTCATATACTTCTCTTACTTTCTTTTATTAATGTGGTGTATCACATTGATTGATTTGTGAATAATGAGCTTACCGTTGCAGCCCACGAATAAATCCACCTTGATCAAGGTGAATGGTTTTTTAAATATATTGTGATACTCCATTTGCTAGTATTTTATTGAGACTTTTTGCATTATATTCATCAGGACACTGGCCTATAGGTCTCTTTATAGTGGAGTTTTTATCTGGTTTTTGAGTAAGGTAACACTGGCTACATACAATGAGTTTAGGAGTTTTCTTCCATTTCTGTTTTTTTTTAATAGTTTGAGCAAAATAGTTACTAACTCGTCTTTCTGTGTTTGGTAAAATTCCCTTACAAAGCCATGTGCCTCTGGACTTTTGTTTTTTGGAAGAGTTTTTATTACTCAGTTTCTTCACTGGCTATTGGTCTCTTCAGTTTTTGTTTTTTTGTTTTTTTTGTTTTTTTTTTAGTTTATGTTTCAGTTTTGATAGTTTTTATGTTTCTAGGACTGTATCCATTTCTTCCAGATTGTCCAATTGGTTGGAATTTAATTTTTCATAATACTCTTTTATATAATTGCATTTCCGTGTTATTTGTGATCTCTCCTCTCTCACTGATTATTTCATTTATTTGTGTCCTTTCTCTTTTCTTTTTGATAAGTCTGGCTAGGGCTTTATCAGTATTGGTTTTTAGAAGAACCGGATCCTGGTTTCATTGATCGGTTTGTTCTACTGTTGTTATTTATTTATTTTTTTCATTTGCGTATAATTTACTTCTGCTTTAATCTTTGTTATTCCCTTTATTGTTCAGCCTTTATTTGCTGTTCCTTTTCTTGCTCCTTTAGGTGTAAACTTAGGTTTTATATTTGAGCCTTCTTTTGCTGTTTGACATAGGCCTGTATTGCAGTATAGTTCTGTTAGGACTGCTTTTGCTCCTTTTAAGGTTCTAAACTGCCCTAGTTTCATTTTCATTTGCTTCCCTGTATGTTTTTATTCCTTACTTTGCCTATTTAATCCATTCATTCTTTAGTAGGATGTTCTTTAGCCTCCGTGTATTTGTTGTCTCTCCAAATATTTTCTTACGTTTGACTTCACGTGTCATAGCATTATGGTCGGAAAATATGCATTATATGATGTCATTCTTTTTGTATGTGTTGAGACCTGACTTGTGCCCCGGTATGGACTCTTTTCTGGAGAATGTTCCATATGCACTCAAAAGGAATGTGTGTTCTGCTGTTTTAGGATGAAATGTTGTGAATATATCTGTTAAGTTCCTCTGGTTCAGTGTGTCATTGAAAACCATCGTTTCCTTGTTGATTTTCTGGATAGATGATCTGTCCATTGCTGTAAAAGTGGGATGTTAAAGTCCCTTGCTACTATTGTATTTTTGTCCGTGAGTTCCTGTATGTTTGCTGTTAGGTGGAGTATATATTTGGGGGAGCCAGTTTAGGGCAGAAACATTGACAGTTGTTAGATCTTATTGTTGAATAGGCCCGTCTATATGATACTGTGTTTTCATTGCTTGTTAACAACCTTTGGTTTAAAATCTAGTTTTTCAGGGGCACCTGGGTGGCTCAGTCCGTTGCGCGTCCAACTCTTGACTTCAGCTCAGGTCATGATCTCCTGCAGAACCTGTTTTGGATCTTCTGTCTCCCTGTCTCTGCCCCTCCCTTGCTTGTTCTCTCTCCTCTCTCTCTCTCTCTCTCTCTCTCTCTCTCTCTCTCTCTCTCTCTCTCTC